TAACGCTGGAACTCTCTTCCAAACTCAAGTGTGTCTTCCCCCACCGTGGAAATAAGAAAAACGGATGGATGTTGCTCTTGGCCCCCATCACTATGTTACCTAGGCTGTGCTACTATGGAATATATTAATCATGCCTAAAACAAGATTTATATGTCGCATTGACCTAAGAAGTGGTGGCTGAGGCAATACTCCTTTTCTCCATTACCACAGAGAGTAGATCAGCTAGAGCGACCGCGAATGAGGACGATATCCGTTCGAGCTGATGAAACATCAAATATAGAGTGGAGGAAACTAAATGTGAACTTACCTTCGATATGCAGCGCGTCATTGGGATGTAAACGAAGCATGGGCTATTCTCCCGCGGACATTGTCATTACTTTTCAAACAAAATGCACTGGGATACTAAGTTACATTCCTAGTTATATACCTGACCACGATTGGTCATTGTGGATAAAGACACCTTTCACGATGTGCTGTCCAAGCAAGTACTTCCGGACCGCAGAAGCAACAGAGACACATACGACTGTAGTGTACGAATTATGCCCGGCCGAAATCATGCGCAAGCAGGCAACCGCGTATTATCTGTGCGCAGCACGGAGCGTTGCCAAACTAGATGCAGCTGACAAATAGCGCAGGAATATAAGACAAGATGAACTCACTCAAAGCTCTGTATTTCTCGGTGTAACACTGGCCGAAAAACTGACTAAGATTATCGTGATTTCTCTGTTCCTAATGTGTAAATATCCCAGGTGTAGACACCAGAACAAGAGTCAGCGAACAAACTCGTTTTCGGTGGATCTCGTCAGGCCAATAAACCACAACTGCTACGAATATAATGAGTTAAATCATCCGACGGGAGTAAACTTCAATGGGTAAATTTAATAGGTCTAGATCATCTAAATGACGTAGACGTGATCGTTTCACAAAGAGTAAATGAATTGTCAGTTTCATGGTCCTCAGCATATGTTACTGTTATATAGGACCAGGGAAGAGATATAATGTAAACGAATGGTTTTGTGCACTAGCGCAAGTTAGAGCATTGTTCCAAACGTTTAGCTTGACACATCTCTGAAATCGCGTGCTGTGTTTCAAGGTAGCGAGGCTAGAAATCCTGTTTTGGCCTTGTTGACACTCTCATTGGTAATGGGACGTTAGCCAATGGGACACCGTTTGGAACCCCCAGCATAGGCAACAGACAGTCCAGTGAAAGTGGTCGAGCATCACCTTCCGTTCCATTTGATGCCTAACCAGTGCGGACAGACATACTAACCAGCACATAATTGGTGACCCCTAGCGGCTACCTAAGGGTGGCTTATTCAGCGGGTTAACCATGGTGGCGCAGACAAGCAATCTTCTAACTGGTATTCCGCAGATCAGCAATGGCTTCTATGCGGTTAGACAATTGTGTGCGATTGTTATTGCGACGATCGTGGGGGACATTGTTCCCATTGAAGTTGGTGGACCAACCTGAAGCTGAACAATGAAAGTTCTATGTTTGCTTACTTCTATCACAGTTGATGACTAAACACAAAGAGGATTCCAAGTGTGGCGTTGACACGACTTTAGGGAGTGTTCGTTTGTTTCCATATCCATGAGCGACTTTGTTAATCAGTTATCGCTTCAGTGTCTCCATGTATGGCGTTATTTAACGGGCATAGGAACGTACGTATCAATAGGATAATTAGGCTTTACTTCCATGTGGTCGCCCATACGTGTTGAGACGCTTTGACATGTGGCTCTCCGATTGGCACCATTAGAAGCACAGACAATGCAGATGGAACCTCTCTATAACCTAAATGGACTGGAATGCTATCCTCATGAAATCGGCATTACTCAACAACGAAACAACTAAAAGGGCTACAATGACTACGGTATGTAAACATGCCACATCGTCCTGCTGGCTAAAACGCAAGGCTGATAAATAGTGGCGACGCATGCATTTTACTCTGGTGATTCCGGTGAGTACTTGGAAACGTCAAACACTGTTGTCTCACCCACTGGCGTTCCTACAATATATTTGCCATAAATTACCACGGCAACCGCGCCCACTAATTCTGCTATGGACCATTGTTTCAGGTAGTCTTAGAAGCAGTCATGTGTGCACGCCGTGACGCGGGTTTTTATCGATTTGGTAACTACACGGAAACATGTTGATACTGGAAACTGTGTAATTCCGAAGACACTGTTGAGATAAATTGCTTCGAGCTCTGTGCTTACTATGCCTATGCAATGCTCGTTGGCAGATCGTAACAGGACCGTAGCGTCACCTGGTATTCCAAGCTTATCAATCAATTGGAGGTAAAGTGTAAGTATCATGTTCAAATGCAGTATTGACATGAATCTTCCGAGCTTAACATAATGGTAGGTCCATTTGTCCTGAAGTGGTAACTGATTAACGAATTGGCCCACAGCTGTGGAGACGAATGAACACTCACCAAAGTCGTGCCACCACCACACTAGGAACCCTCCTCTTTGGAACAATGGCTACAGATCCACTGATGTTCTTACATACACAGCGAACTTGACCTCAGTATACAATGCGCCGACTACAGCAGCAATACGTAGCTACGCTATTCACATGAGTCTACGGCCAACTGAAAAAGCACAGCACTAGAACTCTCTAGCTGTCAACGTTTTAAAATTTATACTTGCACGGAAGTGCTAGCTTTACCTCCTCCATACGAGTTACTGCATTGTTTCTGATTACCTCACAGTGACTTAAAAATCACACGCGTATCCTAAACGAGGCCACACACCTATGGATTCTCCAAATTATTCGCAGTGGCACGATTACGCTATGCAATCCGTATCACGTGTGGCCAGGCAGACAAATGAACAAGGAAGGCAATCGCGCAGTCAAACCGTGTGCCTTCAAAACTTCTCTCCCAATAGCCTAGAAAGGTTGCAGCCACAACACAATCAACCAAGCCGCTTCTTAGCACTACTCGATTGGATGTCATCTCGCTCGCGTGGTAGTGAAACCTCCTTACGTCAGATTGGCAGCATGACCAACCACACATGTCAAATGGGTTTCCATTACAAACGCTGCTGCATATTGCTCACTAAGTACGCAGGCCTTGTCATAGTCCTTAAGCGCATGAGTACCGTCATCACGCATCAATACTGGAATTGACATGTTCGAACTGCAGCGCCTTTGAACAAAAGCGCCATATTCGATAAAAACCTGTCACGGCTTGCACACATGACTGCTTCTAAGACTAGCTGAAACCATGGTCCATAGCAGGAATAGTGGGCGTGGTTGCCCTTGTAATCGATTGCAAACTCATTGTAGGAATGCCCGTGGGTGAGACAACAGCGTTCGTCCCAAGTACTCACCTGAAGTACCAGAGTAAAATGCGTGCGTCGCCACTAATCTTCAGCCTTGCGTTTTTACTAGCAAGACGATGTGGCATGTATACATACCTAGTCATTGTGGCCCTTTTAGTTGTTTCTTTGTTGAGTAATGCCGATTTCATGAGGATAGCATTCCAGTCCATTTAGGCCATAGAGAGGTTCCATCTGCATTGTCTGTGCTTTTAATGGTGCTGCGGAATACCAGTTAGAAGATTGCTTGTCTACGCCACCATGGTTAACCCGCTGAATAAGCCACCACCAGGTAGCCGCTAGGGTTCACGAATTATAGACCGCTTTATGTGCTGGTTAGTATGTCTGTCATGGCTTAAGCTTCGGATTATATGGTAGCTACGGTCTCCACCTTAGGCAGGCACCACCAATTCCCCATTGGACGGTTTCAGTTTGGAAGCAAATCATTGACGTTTCCATCAGATAGGCAACAAAATGGAACAGATGGTGGCGTTCGACCACTTTCACTGGGCTGTCTGTGACTTATCCTTTGGGCTTCCAACCGATGTCCCATGATCAATGAAAGTGCCAACTGCGCCGAATCAGTGCCCTTTGCCTCACTACCTTGAATGCACTGCACGCGATTTCGAAAATGTGCCGAGATAAACGCTTGGGATATTGCGCTAACATGCGTGTAAAATGGTCTAGATTTGCCAAGAAAGTGCTTCTCACTGATTTTATTCCACCTGCACTCAGCCAACTCGGGGAATGCTCACGAATTTTCTTAGATAATCGCCTGGTTGTTTTCGATAAAACTTGCTCGAAATGAACAAGTAGAGGACTATACGCAGGAACAAGTATTTGAGCGAGGAAGTCCGTCCTCTGAATCCCTACGATTGATATTAATGTAAGTCTTAGCTGTAGGCTTCCTGCGTAGTTGGTACTGCTTATGGTGTTGGATAGACTTCTGGACATCGCCTGCGTTATTTCACCCCTTTGAACTGAAATGACAGATAAACCAATTTCTTCTCAACGGAATCAGATTTAGCCCCCCATTCTCGGCGCTCCATATTTCTCCGATCAAACTTTTGGGGAGACTCGTTTCTCTCAAAAAGGCCAGCTAAGAAATGCAGCTCCCCCGAAAGCGTGTCCTCAGTACATATCCTTCAGTTCGGTTAAAAATCGAATCAATTTCCGATTTTGGCTTACTGGGACAATGCTGGCCAAATGTATGTACTGTCCATTACACGTAGCTCTTCTGTGCATCCTGCTTCGGATCGACCAATCTGATCAAATGTTAATTTGGACCTCTGGGAAATACATCATACTATGAAGTTCAGATTCCATTGTAAATTTAGCTTTATCGCGCGCCTCCATTGTACTCACCCCTAAGCGATCATCTAGCCGGATATGGCAGGCTTCATTCTTTGTCTCGTCGCGATATGCCAGTGGCCACTGACAGAACAGCATCCGTAAAACACCGCCAGAAAAAATATATGTGACGCGAATGATTGCAATTGAAATGCAGTACAACGATGGTTTAATGGAATTAATAGTTAAGATTTGGAGGAGACCGCTGAACAAATGTGGCTCATAACCTTTACAATGAACAATCAAGTAAAGTAACATTTGGATGGCGGGACAATAAACGGTTGTCGAATTTGACGTGCGAGCGAGTAACAACAGAAAATCTCCATCTAATCAGGACCCAACAAAGCGTCCCCCACTGGTTTGGAATCACTGGGCTGCAGTAAGAAAAGAGATCTCTGTATTGGAATGAGCAAAAGAAATATGCACATTAGAGTAATATCTACGGACTCCCTGTTGCACCAATAACGCCTAACCATATGCTAAGAACAAATATAGCCCGTCTTGAAAGTGGCAATGTAACCAATTCCTACCACACTGTTACGCTCCATCAACCGGTCTTATGTTGTTGCCAACTATTTAACACCTCTTACTATAGGCACAGATACATTCACCTGCAAATTTCTACGTGCGCTGAAGTGATGTTGGGCACAGTGCCGGGAACGGGTAGGATCAACCGCAATGTACTCAATGTGACTATCACCACAGAACCATTAATGCTCACGACCATACTTTATGGAAAGTATGCTATAAACGAAGCACTTACAGACGACGGTGTGTTCAACACGTTGTACACACACTTGATTGTCCTGTTCTTCTTCGGCACGGTGGACCACTGCAGAAGGAACAGCGATGAGGTTTAGCGTAGGTAATTCAAACGGACACACCTTTTCCTTATAGGGTTCCCAAAATGATTTCGGAAGCACTGCTGATTGTATCGCGATCGTTTCGTTGGCTGCAGTGGTATCGCCTGACTTCAGTGGTTTCCGAATAACTTTGAGAAAGGCTTATTGCACAATAGTGAAGAATTACCAATCATTTCTTTCCTGTTATGTCCACTAATGGTCCCATCTGGCGGAAAGACTGAAAGATTAGTAGACGAGGTCTCTATATCGAAGTGCATCCAATCTTCCGAAGGGTTGGTTAGGCAGAGGTTGGATGAAAACGGTACATCGAATGAACCTCAAAAGTAGACATATGATAGATTAATTGAGTACCTTCAAACACGAGCTCGTGGTTCGGTTCCATAGCCAGTTCTCCACGCACCCAAGGAATGCACTTTACTCTGCGTGTCAGAATTTCACGTTGATCGTTGTGTTCCCACTAGAAACATAGAGTGATGACGAATGAAGAAATTGCAGTGTGCACGTACAAGCTGATGTAAATTTTCCTCTTCCTCTCTCTGTGCTAGCATGATGTGAACTATTAGCTCGTGTTTGTGGTTTTCCGGATGGTAAAAATCGAATGGCAATAAAAATACTACGCGCGATGATTTTACAAAATCAGCTCACTTTCAGGACTTCTCGCTTGTCGTGCACAGACACTACCATAACGAGGCTTGAAGTAATATAATGCAGGTGCAGTGGACTCTAGCTTGTAGTGCAGTTTAGATGTTCCTGTGTTTCTCAGTGTCACAGTTGCGGTGACGCCGCCTGTAGGCTGAGGAACTGCAAAAAAATTTGTACGATGATCAGGTCACAGAAAGCACAGATGTGTAAACAGTGATATGAATTACGAACACCAGGAAAACCAAAGCGAACTTCAAGTGGAATTCAGTTCGCATAACGAGGGACCTCAAGCCAACTGTTAAAGCGGTCCACGAAAATGTCGTACACGTTTGTTCTCGAAGGATTCGTAAGTCGCATATGGACAAAAGACCTATTTGGCTGTCCATTAGCATGTATCATAATCGACTTCAGTGACCACGATCACAATGCACAAATTTGGGCAAAGCAAAATCGAGCCACATGATCATTCCGAGACAATGTGTTTGCTGCGTTGTTTTTGCCGCGGCCGACAATGATGTCACTACTATTATAGGTGGGTGTGGCCTCCTATTTCAACAATCTAAAGCCCACACATATGCTGCGAATACCATGCTTACATACTGATCTCTATAGATATCTGTATGCAAGTCTTGTATTGAACAGTGGACAACGAACAATGATTCATCACGGGTAACAGCAGGTGTTTGAAAAGTCACCTACGGTGGCTATAGTGAGAAAAAGCAGACCAAGGGCTAAGCGCACCGTTAGTCTAAGCGGCTACCTATTTAACTGCACCGTTGTAAAACAGTAGTTTGAAATGAGAAATGAATGTGCATACAAAAATCCATCTGGGAAGTGGTTCTAATTCACGTAAAGTGTGAGAATAATAATGAAATGACAACGCTTACTCGTGTGCAGATTTCTAGTCTCGACAAAATAAGTAAGACCAATAGAAGCGCTTGACAAAATATGTGCTGAAAGTGCAAATGCGCACGTTGATTTATAGTGCTAAGTTGACGCAATAAAATTATTGCATAATAGGAGTGTACGAGCTCATCGTCCGGACTTTGCTTGTAAACCTTCAGTGTGGGGAAGAAAGCAATGTAAGTGGGGAGGGCCCTCCGTGTTTGGTACACGTGAACTGTAAAGAAATTCCGGCGACAATCCAACCGGCTATGCTCTGTGGTCAGCCCTAGCTGGTGACCACTGAGATTATTATCGTGATTCAGCTTTAGAACTTGACTAAAGGCGTGCTTTGTGTTCCTTAGTATCAATATGTCATTCAAATCTCCCCACCGGCGTTAATATTGTCCACTGTACATCCCAAGGGTTTTCAACCTCAGTTGGTAAGCGAGATGTAACAGACCATCTAGGTTATGAGTCGCCCTTCGTTGTGGCAGTTCAAATGCGGTGTGATCTTGCTTGCGCCAGGGCTGCCAGTTGTGAAGAACGCATTCTCAATAGAGCCTAATTCAGGCATTGCGTATCTGAAAAAAGTATAGAATGGTTAAAATGGCCGTAACCTCTCCGCAAAATACAAGGTTGTTTGACTTCCTTGAACACCTTCTCGGCCCGACATGCACAGCCGACTTCCTCATGTACTCTTACACCTAGATGGACTTTGGTAGTAACAAGCTGCTAAGTTTAATCCTCCAACCTGTACTCCCAAGTGGATTGACGGCGTATGCGCAAGGTCGTACACTCGGTGGCGTTGGAATTGAAGCAGGTATTGAGTCGTCTATTCGTATAACTTATCCAGGTCGTCCTGCAGCTCTACGTGGTCACTCGTTATCTTGTTGGCCATCCGTATCTTGAGACCATCATTGTCAATAAAAGTGATGACTGTTTCACCCCGTGATATCATCGAGAACAAAGCCATTGGTTTAATGAACCGAATCTCATGCCATTAAAACGAAGCCTTGGCGTGGGAAAAAGTGGCAATTCATCGCATAGGACATATCGGAACGAATCACTTGGGAAATATATGCTAGAAATAGTAGTAGGAATTTTGTGATGTGCAGCACAAATTACAATATTCACCTACCAGTTAGAATGCAATGTGGTTCCCGCTGGCATTACTAATAAGCCGACCCATATCTTAATACAGGAGAAAATCGCCATTGGTGAAATACCCATTGAACTCCCAACAATATTTCATGCATTGCCTTAATTTCGTTTAATTACATACTTCATGACAGGTCGACTCAGTCTAAGGATCTTGGTTACCAGCACCCAAATAACACCCTTATCGACTTGCTATGTGCTCATTGACAGTGTTCCTTTTCACTTGTTGACTCTTCTGGCTAGCTAAATAGCTTCAAGCTGCGTCGGATCAAATTTTCCGGACAACTTGCAAGCGACCTGCTCTGAAGACTGCTATGCGCGTGTTTTCCTAACCAGCATACACACCCGACAGGTTCTTTAGTCAAACTACTCAGACTGGAACTGTCTTCAATGCTGTTCTCTCCCAAATGGCACAATATCATCCAGTCAAGTGAGGACCATTCCATGTCGAACATGGCCGTTTACTAGATGCGGAAAATCGCTGTCACAGCCGCAGTAAGGAATGTTAAAGACAATGTTTAACTTTTCTGTTGTGTCGCCGCTGACGCCTTCACCCCACAACCGCAAGAAGTCCACAGACGAGCCAGAAGGAGACTTGTATACATGAAATCACAGTTGCTTATATAGTTTGAAGGCAAACTGAAGGGAAGCTACTAAAGTACACTTGAGCCAACCAACAGAAAGAAAAACGTCAAATGCAACGGCGAATAAGTAACCGTGTACTCAAGAGAGAATCGCATATGTCCTTAAAAATAGCATCACTGGACTCCAAGCGTAAAGCGAACGTCCATTTACAGGGACGGGCACTGGCCAATCAGAATGACGAAATGAAACGTTTAAACAAAGGTCACGAAACAAACAAGAATAAGGAATGCAGACCCAAAAGTTGAAAACTAGTACAATGATTGTGTGACAACTAAATATTCCTTTAACATAACCAAGTAGAACAGTGATGAGAAGAAAAATACCAATAGAATATGTTCTTGCAAATGGCGCTGCTGAGAAGGACATGACGATGAGCGTCCATTAACAATGACGTGGATGTACCAATCGGGCTAACCCAGTAGAGCGTTTAAATAACAGTCAAGAAATAGAAAATAGGAAGAGTAAAGAATAGCTATCAAGCTCGTGCGCAATAAATGAATGTCTAATAGCTGTTCTGCTAATACTTCCCTCTCTTGAAAAATAACGGGTTACCTGGGGTTCACATAGCTCTTCCGACGCGGATCCCCTTGGAGAGGCTGCACAAATCTTCTTTTTCTCTTTGGCCACTGGTGAGCTCCATTTTCCATGCATTCCACTGGACGAACGTCACCACTTGCAGGAGTACTCGGCTTGCCAGTGTCCAGCAATTCATTGAAGTCAAGTCCGTTGGCTTTCGGAACGACGGCACCATGTGCATAACGTGACCTCAACTGATTTACGTGGCGTCTCCACACCTGTGTACCAACTTGAACATCATACATCACATTGCCTCGGCGCCGCACCATACCGCCTGTTGTACGGACGCCCCATCACTGAATTCCTTAGTTGTAGAGACGGACGCTTGGGGGTCAGCAAATCTAGTGTGGTTCTCAACCTTCGACCCATAAGTGCTTCAGCTGATGATTTGCCATCTGGTGCATTAGGATTCGGGGTAACTCTATAGTTCAACAGGAAACGTTCCAATCTTTCGTTCAGCGATCCCTCCTCTTTTGACTTCCACAATACTCGTTCCAGAGTATCAACAAATCTTTCCGCTTGGCCATTTGACTGTGGATGATACGGGGCCGTCTGCACATGCTCGATCCCATTCTGTGCACAAAGTGCAGCAAATTGACAGGACGTAAACTGTGACCCGTTATCTGACACGACTGTTACTGGCAATCCGTGCTGACTGAAGACATATCTCATCGCAATAATTGTGCTGTTTGCCGACGTGTTTTGCATAGCGATTACCTCCGGCCACTTACTGTAGGCGTCAACAATAACCAGGAAATGCCCTCCTTCGACTGGTCCTGCGAAATCCACGTGTATGCGCGACCAGGGCGATTCCGGGTTTGGCCAAGCTTGTAATGTAACACGTACCGGTAACTTGGAGGCACTGATGCATCTAGAGCACGATCGGCCAATATCTTCAATTTGGCTATCCATCATGGGCCAAAAAACGTAACTGCGCACAAGCGTCTTCATGATAGCGATCCCTGGATGGCTCTTGTGCAGTTGACGTAACACGCGTGACCTGAGTGTTTCTGGAATGACAATGTGATCTGCAAAAAGCAGGCAGGAATCAACTTCAGACAAAGAGTTGCGTCGTGTGAAAAACTGTGTCAAAGCTTCTTTCGGGCACTTCTTTGGCCAGCGCCGTCTTGTGCAGGTTAATACCTCTTGCAGCAATGCATCCTGTTCAGTGGCTAGCTTCACCATTGTGCCAGTGACCGGTAAATTACTCACAGCGTCATGTACCATGTGGCTGACATCCGTTTCGGCTGCGATGGAGGCAATGATTGCGTCTTCTGACTCACGCTTACTGGTATCGATTAATCTGGAAAGGGCGTCCGCTTGCCCTATAGAATCCGCAGACAAGTATCGCATGCTGAAATCATAACCCAAGAGCAGAGTTGCCCATCGCTAAAGTCGACTGGCCGTATATGCCGGAATCCCCTTTTTGGATCCAAAGATTGCCAGAAGCGGTTTGTGATCAGTCATCAAGGTGAACCGTCGACCATATACCATCTTATGGAAATTCTGCACTGCAAAGATGATAGCCAACGCCTCTTTCTCAATCTGACTATAATTCTTCTCGGATGCCGTCAGCGCTCGTGCAACATGTGCTATAGCCTTTTCGGATCCATTTGGAAAACGATGTGAAATGACAGCACCAATTCCATAGCTTGAAGCATCCGTGGCCAGCTTCGGGTTATAATGAGTAAGCAATAAGTCCGATTTCAGCAGAGATTTCAGTTGCTCGAACGACTGTTGACACTGTGCAGACCATTTCCATTCGACTTCTTTCATCAGCAGGTGGTTTAGAGGATGACGCAAGCGATGCATGCATGTTAGAAATTCACTATAGTGACTCACCATCCCAAGGAATGACCGTAAAGTTGTGACATCCGATGGCGCCGGTAACCGGTCCATCACCTCGATATTTTCGAGATCGGGTCATCGGCCGTTCACGTTAATTACGAAACCCAGGAACTTAATTGACTTCAGGAAAAATTTGCACTTGTCCGCTCGTAATCGGAAACCGTAATCTTTGATTCTTTGTAGTACGTCATTCAGTTGTTGAAATAACTCATCTTGCGTCGATCCCATTATGATGATGTCATCCAGGTAGGCTGCCACTCCGGTTACACCCGTCGGCATGGCATTCATGACTTGCTGAAAGATCGCCGGTGCCGTTTTGACTCCAAGTGGCAAACGGTTGTACTGGTAGAGACCGCGATGCGTGTTAATTGTTAGAAGCTTTCTGCTTTCCGGTTCAACTTCTAATTGTAAATAGGCGTCCGCAAAATCAAGAGTAGCAAAATACTTGTCTCCGTTCAGTTTTGCAAACACGTCCTCAGGGAGTGGAAGCGGATACTGATGGGGTTCCAGTGCAGCATTCAGGCCCGTTGAAAAATCTGCACACAAACGAATAGAACCGTTCGGTTTCCTGATCACAACAATAGGCGCAGTTCACGGTGAGAAATTGACTCGCTCAATCACTCCGGCCTGCTGCAATTGATCAAGCTCCTGTTCAACAATTGCTTGGGAAGCATAAGGGACAGGACGCCTGGGTCGAAACACTGGTCTGGCACCCCGAAGCAGATTAAGTTTTGCCTGCATTTTCTTACAGTGTCCAAGTTCCGACTGGAATACACACGCATACTTCGTTTGAAGCTGTTCAGAGATGCTTTGACCCGGAGGAGTCGGTATGGCTGTATGGTGCACCGTGACATTCCTTTCAGCACAGACACGATTCAGTGATACATTGAACAAGTTCAGCTTTTCAATCCAATCGATTCCGAGAAGACTGACGTCGGTGCATGATACTAGGTGGATCGTGCCGCGGAGTTGTAGTTCCTTGAACCTAACCTCACATTCAATCTCTCCATGCAATCTAAGCGGTTCCCCGGATGCATTCTGAGCCGTCAGAGTTGTGCGCTTGAATGATGGTCTCTCAAGCTTCCTCCAAGTGGATCGCGAAATGACTGTGATGTCGGACGCCGTATCTAGTTGCAAGGTGACTGGAATATCATTGACTTTTACTGTTAAATACTTTCTCTTGCCTGCAAATCCGTGCGAAAAGCAGCGAGAACTATCTTTGTGGCCGGTCCATGAAGTTTCGCCTTTCTTAAGTTGATGTTTGTGCGCACTCTCGAGGGAAATGAACGTATGAAGCTGTGCACAACTCGACAGTGGGTTTCCTTATGACCAAACCGCTTGCACTTGTGACATTGATGCCCTTTGTAGATACAGTCTCTCACAAAATGCCAAGCGTCACAATTCCAGCATGCGGTCGAGGGCTTCTGAGTTGAACGATTCCGGTTCATCACTTTACCACAGATAGCTGTGCGACAAATCTGGCGTTCTGTCCTGTGATCAGCAGTTTCAATCATTTTTGTGTCGTGCTTCAAATTAATCAGTCGCTGACATTCGGCTGTACTCTCTTGCAACGTCAACTGTGGTTCTTGTTCGAGCTTGTGGAGAATTCGTGTTCGAATATCGGCACCAGCGTGGGACTGGAGACTGCACACGAAAATAAGACTCTTGAATTGATCAGGTGTCATCATACCCAGTTTGAATCGTTCACATTCGCGATTTACGATCCCGGCATGTGTGACAAAAGCAATGGCATCGCGTTTGACTAACTTCAAACAATTGTAGCGAACACTGAAGAGAGAGGCCTGCCCACCGAATATCTGCGTCAGCGTTTTCACCGTCGCATCGAAGCTGAAGCCTCTTGCGTTCATCGGCAACACGAAATTTGTGTAACGTTCATGCTCGACTGCGCAAAGTTTCCTCAGCAACAAACTAAGTTTCCGGGCATCGTCTTGGTCTACAAGTTCCAAACTTCCCATCGATGCACTATTCCTGCGGGCGCCCACACGTTGAATACGCTGTCCAAATGTGGCAGCCTTGGTTGAAACGTGACCTAGAGGTGATAGGAGCACCGTAACATACGGCAACAGAGAATGTGAAGGGTCTACACAATCACACTTGCCAGCGAATTCTGAACTTGCTGGGAGTTTTCAGTAAACGCTACCGAAGGTTGCGAGGCGAGCGCATATCAGTGTAACACACATTTAGCGATCCAACCACGTTTGCTTCCACTTGCCAAAATTTAGCCACAACGACAAGCTCAGAGTTATCTGGTTGAAACTCATTGATTAACACAGCCCCTGGGGTGCCGATAGAACATTCGTCTCCTCGAGTTCGCCAAACCCAGTTGTCTCCTCCCTCACCTTGGATATTCAAAAAAAGGTTGGATGTAACCCTTGGCTTCAATCGCTTCGTTACCTAATCTGGACAAAAATGGAATATAGTAAGCATGCCTCAAACCCGATTTATGTGTCATATAGACATAAGGAAGCGGTAAATGAGTTAGTATTCCTGCTCTAAATTTCCTCACCAAGTACATCAGCAAGAACTGCCCCCATGTTGTCTCGTTTGCTTGCATACCATTCTCCTTCTACAATACGGTTAATCAACCGCTCAAACAGACCATTAACATATTTTGATCTCGTAGTTTCACCCATAGCATCCTACGGTATTTGTCAAGCAACTACATTCTTACCAGTGATAAATCACTGTTAATCACGCTATTGTACCCTACAACCGAATGATGACGATATCCAGCAGCTTATAATGAACACCACATATGGGGCGGAGGAAATTCAGTGAACTCACTTTCAAAGAAAATCGCATCACTGGGTTCGATAGAAAACGAAGGCAGCGGACCCGCCCACATTGCCACGCACACAAATTGAATGTGCCATGCTCCCGCGAGCAAAGTGCACGCCGCACCAGACTGCATTCGTAGGTATATACCTGACTCCGATTGGTGGGTGTGGACGAGGACACACCTCACCAAGTGCTGTCCAATCGGGTAACATCGAACTGCAGACCCACCAGCAGCACGCACGCCTGAAGTGTCAGCGTTTTGTCGGGCCGAAATCATGCACAAACGGTGAACCTCGTAACATTTGAGCACAGCGCTAAGCTTGCGCAAATCAGCTGGAGCTGACCACCGGCGCGGTGACATAAGGCGGGTAGTTGTACGGCAATATGAACCCACTCAGAGCTTCGTTTCCTTCGGCTTACAACGTCTGCCTTACTGAGCGACTATATCGTGTTTTCTCTGTTTTATACTAATGAGTCATTCTGTTGTTAGCCATATCCTCGACTAAAAAAGGATGTGGAAACAAAAATGCTGCTGTCCTGTTATTTGACAGAAGTGGTTAGGTTCCATTTATTTCCCTATGAGATACAATTTTACAATAATTGTGCTGCGGCACGCGTACAGGCAGCTTTAGTCTGACCCAATGCATAATATCCTTCCGGTCATTAACAGCGTCCGAATGTGAATAATTGCACAACTAACCGGTGGCTGATAAACCAGGTTTATAACCATCATCTAGTTGTACATTTACAAACGAGGATGCAACTCGCGGCGTTATCTTAAATGTGCCCACGCCTTCGTGATTCATCTACTGCTTCTAGAATCTTCGCATTGATTGACTGACTCTCTTGGAAGGAGAGGAAAGTGGCTTCCTCGTCGTTGAAGCAAAACTAATCATCGAGCAGCATTGTTTGCGATGAGAGTATTGAGCACATTGAAAACTGACAAGAGCTCTTGCTTTTCCGCGGTGAAACTTAGTGATTGTCCGCTAAAGTGATACAACAGTTCGCTATGTCGAAACCAATGAACTACAACAGTTGTAAGGTTGGCGTAAACAGAGCAAGGAGTCAGTCGTGAACCATTCGTTTTCGCATGTAGACGCCCATTTACAAAATAATATGTGGACTGCTTTTGGAATCAAAATAGTGATGGTTCTGTACTACGGTTCAAATTCCCCACTTCGTATAGTACACGACTCTTCAGGTTTTAAGCTGTATGGACTAATTTGTTGCAGAGGAGCAGAACACGGGTGAACATGATTGCTTCAGTGGCATTTACACCAACTCTCACTGGTCTGTCCCGGCTCCTCTATACCAACTGGTTGTGTGAGTCTTGTTAGGGGTCGTTAAGCAGAAGAGTCTTGTGCACCGATATACTATAACTTATCAGGTCACACGAACGACAGTCGGAGTGTTGTCAAAGGGTACTAAACTTGTCCACAGAGTGGACCGAGTATCGATAGACATAGTTGGTTTTTCCACACCCGCAGCTGAATTCGCCTACTTTGATGTTATGACGAAGCTGTTGCACCAAGCGATATTCTACATTATGATATTATTTGGTAAGTAGAAATCATATCAACGAACGCTGAAATTTTTCTGTGTCTTCTAGTCATTTCCCAAACCTCGATCATATGGGTGCTGCAGCGAGTTATATGTCGTGTGTCTCACCGTTAAATCTTTCGAAGAGAGAAGAGGCTCAGCACACATCTCATTTGCTAGACAGGTCCTTCTGGTGGGCTTTGTGTCGGCTCAGCTATCAAACACTAGGAGTTGACGGCTAATATGTGTTAGGTTGGCCATTCGCTCCACCGTAAGCACCGTAAACACCGAAATCATCCAAAAGCCCCCACAAAGTTCTCAGCAGAGGCTGGTGTGGAAATTAAAACTATTCCATAATATTCATCTTAAAATTTGCTACCAAGTCAAGAAAATGTACTAACTGGCTTTCCACTATTCATAAATTCTTTGTTGGTGTATTCATACGGCGTCTCACGTAAGGGCAAGTTACCTGCTGCAAGATGGAAGAGTCAAACAGCTTGAGCGCAATCCACAACTGACTAGCATATTAGATTCCTGATTGATTCGTGCAGGTGATTAGACACATAGTGTTAAACATGTGTTTAGATTTCCCTGTAAGCAATCATAGGCAGCTTCCATGTCTCATTGGAACAAATCAAAATTTATTAGCTACCAATTGCACTCTAATTCTTTAAACCAGCCCAACATCCCCAGTATAAACTAGCTCGCTACTTATTGTATGTGATTTGACCAATATAAATTCAAGTTAATCTGCATGGACCGATGGGAATAATCCATAGCATTCAGATCAAAGCTTGGACTCAGCAAGTTATTCAACCTACAAGAAGGACCAACACATTAGATCTGATATTTACTATGGGCATTTCGTCAGTACTCATCAGCATTGACAGACAATTAATGGGCTGCGTCCATGATTCTGTGTATGCACTATGAATACGAAAATAGAAAACAAACGACGAGTGACTGTCAATCCTACTCGTTCCATCCATCTCAAGGACAGGATCATATTTGACAATTTTCTCAGTACCCTGATTTGGGACACATTCTTCTTAACACAGAAGCTAACCTTAGACACGAGCGAATTTATAACCAATATTCTCACCTACACCGACTTATTAGCACCCACACAGTGGAACAACCCCCATAACAGTAGTGGTCAACGCAAGCCGTGCTTCAAAATTACCAGCAAATTGAAGAAACTGAATTCCCAATATCGCAACAACAATAATTTTGCCACATGACTGCAAATACATGAGACTATACTGAAAATATAACTTCAGGCACTGCAAACGGAAATCACCGAAGAAAAGAAAGCGCTAACCAATCCGCAAAATAAACGCAGTTTGATGTAACTTCTCGGCAGGAGGAATGCTCAGTAGAACTATCAACTCACAAATCGACATTAGATTGATCAGAAAATGGTGACGATAGCCAAACGGGTAAAGCACGGAACTCTTACTATGCAGTCTCATTCAATACAGATATCAGTATGTCCCATCCTCTTCTAAAACGGAAGACAGATGAAGAGTTATCGAGTATATCGAGCTATCGAGAATATATTCGCAATAAAACCGTCATTTCAGCCAGGACCCGAAGGCATTTCTCTAGCTGTTATTAATTATGGAGGCAAACACATTCCTCTGCTGATTGTAAATGTCTTCACATGATACTTAACAGTAGATATTTCCCGCCACAGTGGAAACGCTGGAGAATAGCACCAAAACACCAAAGTGGCTCCCGATCTACAATGACGAATTATCGCCCGATTAATCATACTGCCGCAGCCTCAAAAACACTGGAGCGAATTGTCGAAAGTGGTCTTGTTCAATTAGTAGCAAGATTAGACCTGATAAACAAACTACAACACGACTTTCTCACGAAGCCATCCGGTGTAACAGGTGGAATACAATTCTTCGACTACGTGACATCGGTTGCTGACAGTGGCATGACAGTTATTGTCATTCTACATGACATGCACACGGCCTTCGTTAGTGTGCCATATAAAGCTTTGCTATCCATCCTGCACCGTTAGGGATTCAGCAACCCATTGCTGAGCTGCTTTAAATCCTACCTAGAAGATCGAACACAGAGGGTTAAAATAGGCCAGCAAGTCTCCACCTCGAGAGAAGTTACAAGTGCAGTTGTCCAAGGCGGTGTCCTTGGAGAACTTTTCTTCCTAATGTATAAATAACATTTGTGATTCCATCACATATGAGTAAACTTACCGCTTTGTGGACGAAATTAAACTCGTCTATTAATTTCCACCCGATAGCCTTGAGTCGGGGATTAAGAACATGCATGAGGACTTACCTGTACTAGAATGTTGGAGTAAAATTTGGTCCACGAAATTATCCGATGAAAAATCGCAAGTGCTTGGGTATGGATGCTGCATACCAGATGGCTCCGTAACCCTAGCAGGTAAAAACAACACAAACCCCCCTTCAATTGAGGAATTTGATGTGATGTATACCGCATCGACAAACTTTTCCGGACATATCTCCTACCAGATAGCAAAGGTCGAACAATGAAAAACCTATATCACTGAATCCTTTGTTCTACCCGAAGCGAGACTGGAAATGTTTAAGATAATATTGCAACCCATGAAGGCGTACTGCACAATTATCTACCGTCACTTTCGTAGAACCGATCGAATAGCCTTAGAAAGTATTCAGCGTTCTCTCACGAAACCCCTTATTTGCAGGTCTACCAATCAGGAATATAAAGAAAACTGTCGACGCGTTAAACTTGACCCCCTATGGTTGCGCCGCCTAAGAAATAATCTAGTTATATTTTACTACATTATACATTGCTTGGTGTACACTACCGGGAATAGATCATGATTCCTCAACCTATCGCACAAATAGATGGTTTACCCACTATCGGTAAAAAAGAGGAACTTAAATATCGGCGCCAACTTCTTCCTGGTGAGGCATACTCACATATTGAAAATGATACTATTGCAATCTCAGACAAATGAGAATGTAAGCAAATTTAAAATGAACTTACGAGCTTTTCTCACCATGCAGAACTTAATGAAAGCATTCGGTCATCACAACTAACAATATTGCATACCATAACGTCGCGAGACATACTATTTGGATACTTATTTGTTTGCTATTTTTACCTTCTAAGCCAACTATTTCCTCTTATTCTTCTGTTGTTGTGTTGGCCACGAGTGGGCTGATCTCCAAACCTAATGGTTTGAAGCGTCTAAGCAACAAATTTGCACACGGCAAAAACACACTGGTAAATAGAACAAGTGTGAAAACATTAAAAAACAGTCCAATCTCACCTGGTGAACTCACACTTAGTGGCACATGACGCCAACCGGTGATCTACGTCACCATGCACGCAAAAGCTATGAATACCGAAATGTCTGACTGACTTGAGTAACCAGCACTTCAAAAATCAGTTGCCCAAGTGATCAATAAAATCGGTAGTGGCTTGCCTGCTTTTCAACCACACAGATACATGAGCAGATGGGGCGCGAAGGTGCGGGTGAAAACGCTCGAGGGATTACCACGCATGGAAGCAGGTCCCCGGGAGACGGTTCGACGAATGCCCGTATAACTCAGCTGTTCATTCTTACCCTACATCTTTCTGCACTAAATCTGTTGTGCTCTTGGTTTCGTATGTCTTCATCTCTACCGTCCTACTGTCTTACTGATATTTCCAATTAACATACTACTGAGACCATAGTCTCACACTTAGTTGTGGTGCATTTCCTCGATATCTCTGCACGAAAACTCAGATAACTATTTCACACTTTACCAATCACCCTGTTTTGACATCTTCTACAAAACTACGATGCACTGTAGAATT